TGCCCCCCCGCCCCCAGCCCGCTCCCAACCCTTCATAGACACACGTGGGCAGCCCAGCCTGACGGGCACTCGCTCAGAGGCAGGCAAGGAGCTGACCCAACTGAGGCTCTGGCACCGAGGGTGAGGCCGGGGTGTCTGTCTGAGTGTCGGGGGGAGAGGGTCCCACTCAAAGACATGGAGGGCAGTTCCCACCCCAAACCAGATACCTAAGTCCTGCTTGTTCTTTTCCTTTTTTCTTGTTTTGGTGAGTGAGTACTTCCAAATCAGTAGGTCTTTCTTAAAGAAATTGTCGTGAAGGCTGAGAACATTTATGGAGCTGCATCTGAAGGGCTGAGAACACGACTCTGTGAAGCCCAAAGAGGGGTCAGGAGTCAGACAGGCAGCCCATGGTGACTAGCCGAAGCGATAAGTGGGGTCAGGACAGGGGTCCCAACAGCACTCAAAGTCCTCCCACGGCAGCACGTAAGCGCTGGGCCTCAAAGGAGACGAGGGGTAGAAGGCAGCCCCTGGCCTCATCCCCAGGACCCCCCCTCACTCCAGTAGGCTTTTACCTCCAGGGCGCAGCTGTCACCTCCTTGCCGGTGAGGACCTGCAGGCAGGGCAGCCTCGGAGTCGGCCTCAGAGTCGCACACAGTGCCTGGCCAGAAAACAGTCAGGGCGTGCTGCTGTGAGCAGGAGGAACCATGGGCAGAAAGGTTGGCTTGGGGGAAAAAAGGAAGACCTGAAGACAGCAAAATGAAGATCTACCTGGGGTCAGGGGATAAGAAACTCACTTTTCCTAGAAAGAAAGTTGAGGAAGACCAAGGAATTAAAGCTGGGGATTGTATAAATGGTTAAAAATGTGAGGTTCATGAAAAGGAATTGAAGTCTTCAATTCTAGGTAATGAAGAACAATCTAAAAATTTCAGCATAAGAAATGCTTGGTCTGATCTCCATTTCACGCTCGGGCATTTTTATTTTATCTTGTGGACACGAAATTTGAAAGGCCTGAAGCTGGGGAAGCCATGATTATCAATATTAAGACTTTCTGTTAGTGATGAGAATACATGAAAAGATTTTAGGCGGGAATTTCGTGAATAGATCTGATTTTATGGGAAGAAATCTGGATTTCATTTTGAGAAGCGGCAGGATCAAAACTTTATGTTAAAAGTTTGGATCTTCTCCAAACAGTTTCAGAAATGTGATGGTGAGATTTTTGCTTGTGAGATGTAGCTGTGGAAAACATGAAAAACATATATGCATCTTATGGCTAAGAGCTTTTGACTTCAAATTATAAGCCACAAGGAAACACCGACAAATTTAAGGATCTGGCTCATTTTGATGGTATTTGTTGAGGGAAGTGCCAAGGTTCAATTTGCAGGACATGCCAAAGAAATTGACTAATGATGACACCAAAGTCAAATGATTTAATCAGAGGAGTTACAAGACCAACATTGTAAATGCACAGAGATTTGGAATTTATTTTGAGGCTCTGGCATGATCAGATTTTGATTTAGAAATCTGATTTAGCCAATAAAAATTTCTCCCAGAGGGACATCATACTTTTTTTGTGCATTTAATCAGTAGTATACAGGAAAATTTACAAAACAGAACTCACATTTGATGTTAACAATGTGGGCTTTTATTCCACACACAATTAAAAGACATTGTTAGATTTCAAGGCAGAGGTACAAGATCAAATTTATATATTGTGCTAGAAGTGTGAATTTTATTTGAAGGGACGACATGATCAGATTTTTATAACACGCTCGTGAAGTTTGGATTGAAGCCAATAGAGGGCTTCAAAGACTGACAGGGTACAATTTGGGGTTTTATAGATCAGCCTGAAGATAAATTATATGGTAAAATGTTGCATTTTATGATACGTAGTTGAACTTTATGTTAGGGGCAATGAAGAAACTTCAAAAAGGCTTAAATGGAGAAGTTACATGCTGAAATGCATGCACTTCAGCGCAGCTAGGAAAGTGTGCTTTTATGGTTAAGACAACACGATCCGATTGTTTAACATGTTAAAGAGATGTGACTTTACGTGAGAGTTGAAGCCATCTGAGCATTCGCAGCTGGGATGATCTCATTTTTGAATCCCCATGCAGAGGCGTTTGGACTTCAGCCAGGAAAGAGTTTTATGGAGTGAGGTGGTGAGCATTTTGTCTCCAGAGGGATCGGAGGGTAAAACATATTTTATGCTAAAGTGTCTAAATTTGATGAACCTGATAATGAATAATCATCGACCACGCCCCAGCAAAGACAGCCCCTCGGCACAAGGGCACCCACTCTGTACCTTGTTTTGAGGAGTGAGATCATTTACAGATGGGGCTGGTCTTATATGATTAAATTGACATAGTGTGCTAAGAACTTTGGACACTATTTTGAGGAATGACAGACTGACATGTTTATGCTATGCTCAAGAATTAAGACTTCAGCTATTAAGAGACTTTCAGAGCGTGACATGGTGAAATTTGTCTGTTGGAGAAAGCAGTCTACAGAGAAATACAGTAAAATGTTTTAGTTTCGGCTAAAAAACTTAGACCTCATCTCACAGGTAACTAAGAAATATTATAAAGCTTTAAGTACGAGTTACGAGAGCAAATTCATGTATCTGCAAGGAAATACAATTTTTATTTTCAGGAATGACGTGGTCTAATTTTTATCTCATGTGAAAAGGTTTAGAAGTAAGCCAATAAGAGGTTGCAGGAGTGGCCTGGTGAGATTTGAAGGTTTGTATTGATTGATTGGCAGACAAATTACATGATAAAAATATTTTATTTTACACTAAGAGGCTAGAACTTCACATAATAGGTGATTGCTCATTTTCAATAGAGAAATGGGATAACTTGGAAGCATCTGTCAAAAGTTTACACTTTGATGTTAAGGACTATTAAGATATGCTGAGTAATTTAGGTTAGATCGAAGGCAGGACAGACGAAGGATTGAATCCATCTTTTACGTGATCAAATGTGTAAACGCGTTAAGGACAGACTTTAACTAAGAAGGTGTGTAGAATCAATCTGGTGTTTAAATCATCTTGCCAGGCATTTACATTTTACCCGATAAAGGGTTTTAAGTGAGAGAAGTTCGGAGAGTTTTATTTCTGATAGAAGAGTCTGGAGATGGATAACTTAGACCAACTTTGTCTTTCAATTAGAATGTTACATTAGAGACTTGGCATGCTTTACTCCACCGCAGAAATCTTGCAGAACGTTAACAAAGAGGTAATGAATTGATTTCTGCACTGTGCTCGGTATATGTTGCTATAAGCAGAGGGAGGAGGATTTTCCTAATTTGTATACCATGCTAAAAAAATACGATCTCTACCTTGAGGAATGACATCATTGGAATTTTGTATTATGCTTTGGCCTTTAAAATGTTAGCCAGAGAATGGTTTTGGTGCGTTTACTTGTCAGCTATGTTTATGCTAAAAGGTTTGGATTTAATACTGCAGACGGTAAATAAACAGTGAAAAGCTTTAATCAGAGGGACTGTGTGATCAAATTTATGTGTCCTGCTCACAGGGCATACTTCATTTTGAGAAACAGCAGATGCAAATTTTGTTTCCTGTTGGAAAGTTTGGGTTCTAGCCAATGAAGAGCTTTACATAAGGGAATGTACTCTTTTTTTATACATTGGCCCAGTGGCTAAGAAGAACATGGAGAAGTAACAAAAGCTGTTGAATTTACAAAGAACAGTAACTGCACTGGATAACCCCAGTCTAACTTGCTCTGCCCCGCAGAGAAGAAATGTGCGAACAAACCAAGCAAGATGTCTCTTCAAACTCCACCTCATCCCACTAGAATCGCCCAGTGCTAGATTTTCAAAAGTCCATTCCTGGACAATCAGACTTGAAAGGTAGCTCGTGTTCACTCCTACCCACCCAGAAACCCCTCAGTACCACAGCTCTACTAGACACACCCTACACTGGGGACAAGGGTATGTTTGAGTGAGACCAGCCCCACCTGAGTAAACGAGAGGAATTGGAAAGCCCAGACTCGAGAGGTGTGCAAATATGCCTGCACCATGTGGAACGGAGGTCGGATGTTTGAAGTCCCGGAAGCCACACAAACAAGGAGGCCGATGAGAGTGGAGATTTAACAGGGGTAGGGAGATCTGAAGAGCTCCTCAACAGCTCTGAGCAGGGCAAACTTAGCATTGGAAGGAAAAGGAATTGAGAAAGAGAAATCTGCAAAATGACTGAGTTATACTCGAGTAGTAAATGTGCAAGTATCGAGCACAATATGGAAAAAATAAAATAAATGCCAGAACCCAAACCTCTACATACTGCCCCCAAAATTTCGACTTAGAACCCGGGACAGGAAATAAGAGCTATTCTGGGCTGCTGACCCAGTTGACGGGATGGTGCCAATGCTCACTCTCGCCTCCAGCGAACTCTTAGCCAGACTACACACAGGGTGGATACCGCCAAACGGGGTCTTTGCTAGAGATTCCCGCCTCTGCAGCCACGGGGCTGGGCTTTCCCCAGAGCACTAAGCCTGCCAGGGTGGCTTCGAATGGCACTACGATGTGACCTCTGTGATATCTGGGTGACCAAGGGAAGGAAGACTGACCAGGCATGGTGCCAGGATGAGATGAGGCGGCCCGTGTGTCCTGCCAGGTGCCCGCCTGCCACGGCGGCTGCTCTGGCTGGTTGCTCCACAGAATTTATGGGCTGTGAATTTCTCACACCCATGGAGGAAGTAGGCAGGCCAGGCAGACAGCCTAAGTCTGGGAGGCAGGTCAGGGGTTGACAAATACTCGCTCCCTGGGTCGCCCAAGGTGACCAGTCGAGGAGGCTGGCCAGAAAGGCTTTCCCCACTTTCTCTCTGTTGTGACCACTTGAACATCTCATCTGTCTTTGAGAACGTGACTCTGACCTCCTAAGACCCTAAACTGCTGCCTTTCTCCCATTACCCTCCCCCCCAGGTTCTGATCTGCACGGTCCCAGGAACTGACTGGACACGTGGAAACCTTACCAATCTTCGGGAAACTCCTTTCCATTCGACGAAATGATAGAACCCTCTGAAGACTCATTTGAGACGATGATGGAGCGTAAGAATCCATCATCAAAACAAATGGAGTCCTCCGAGGGCTCATCCAACACCACTGTGGAGACCTCGGGCAGCAGGGAGAGGGCTGCAGCGCTCACCAGTGGCCCCGCCCAGGAAAGAAAGGAGCCTCTCAGTGGCTCACTCCAGGAAATGGAAGAGCTGCCCATTGATCTACTCCAAGACATGGAGGAGCCATCCAGTGGCCCACATAGGGAAACAGAGGATCCACCCAATGACCTACTCCAAGACATGGAGGAGTCATGCAATGGTTCACACCAGCCAATGGAGGGTTCACTCAATGAAGCATCTGAGAGGATGAGAGAAGCATCAGGAAAGCCACCCGGAGCCCAGAGAGCACAGAACAGCACTGACCTGAGAGAATTGGGAGAGGAGGAGAGTCCTGAAGACGAGCCAAGCCAGGCTGAGTGCTCTACTACAGAACATATGGCCATGGTGAGGTCCATCATCTCACTGTACTTCCGAATGCATGACCTCGAAGAACAACAAAGAGTTGCAGAAGAAATCTTGATACAAGGGATCAATGCAGGCCAACTGCCCACCCCGAAACACTTCTCTGGGGACCGCAGAGAATACCACGAGTTCATTGTGCTCTGTCAGCTGATCCTACAGAGCTACCCCAGAATGTTCTACAGTGACCACCTGCGAGTTGGGTATGTCATCTGCCACCTCTCGGGCTTGGCCTTAGAATGGGCCAAAGCTCTGCTGAGGGAAAACAGCCCCCTGATTGGTGACTTCCCAGCCTTCCTAGAGGCAATGTCCGAGGTGTTTGAGTACCGGCAGACCCTACGTGTGGCAGAAGAGGCCATGTTCAGTGTCAGGCAGGGGAGTCGCTCTGCCACTGAGTATATCAATGAGTTCCAGAGCCTGGTCCCCGTCCTGGGCTGGCCAGATGAAGTCCTGCAGGCCCACCTGTGCCAGGGACTCAATGAAGACATCAGGCATTATCTATTCCGGGTCCCTCAGCCAGATTCCCTGGACAGTCTGATCGTGCTCATCCTGCAAATAGAAGAAAAGCTGGCAGAGAGGAGAGCAATGCTCAGGCTGCCCCCTGAGGCCCGTCCTCGGAATCTGACCTGGATTGACTCACCTGCTCCCGAGAGGTGGATGGTCAGCAGCTGGCTGCCCAGTGAAGTCCATCCGGCCATCAAGCGTGCCCACCTCTTCCTGCTGCTCATGGTGAGAGTGAACCCCTACCACAGTGTTGCCGTCCAGGCTCTGGTTGATTCAGGGGCGGACGGCAACTTCATGGACGAGAGGTTCGCCCAAGAGCACTACGTTGAGCTGTACGAGAAACCCTACCCACAGCCGGTCCAATCCGTGGATGGCTCGCTGATTGGCAACGAGCCTGTCTGGCTCTACACCGAACCCCTGGTGTGCATTCACCAGAACCACCAGGAGTCCATCGAATTTGACATCATACCTTCACCTAACTTCTCCGTGGTGCTGGGCATCAGCTGGCTCCGAGTCCATGCCCCCGAGGTCGATTGGATCAGAGGTCGCTGCACCTTCCACTCTCCCTACTGTCTGAAGAACTGCTTCCGCCCACCCCCACCATGCATCGCCCTGGAAAGACACAGCATGAGCCTGCTGCCCGGACTGCCACACCCATACTCAGACCTGGCCGACGTGTTTAACCCGAAGGAAGCAGATGAGGAGACTTCCGACCAGCCAAGCTCAGACGGATCCGATGATCTTTCTGAATCAGAGCCCTCTGAGCTTCAGCAGGCTGGAGACAGTGATCACAGCGAGACCTTTTACGAATGTCCCTCCACCGCGCCTTGGGAACCTGTGGGTGCCAGGATGCAAGAAATAGCCAGGCTACAGGATGAATACTGGGACCTGCAGGACATGCTGACCGACAGACAGGACTACATACAGATGATTCCGGAACTGTTTGACCAGTTGCATGGAGCTGCATGGTTCACAAAACTGGAGCTGCGTGGGACCATAGTGGGGGAAAGCATGAGCATCAGCCACACAGAGGACGTATGGAGGGCAGCGTTCGGTCTGGAGCTGCAGGAGCTGAAGAGCTACCAGCCCTTTGCGCCATCCCCAGACCCGGTCATACCCCAGAAGGTGATTCACTTCATCCTCAAGGACATGCTAGGTTTCTTTGTGCTCTCCTACGGTCAGGAAGTCCTGGTCTACTCAATGAGTCAGGAGGAGCACCTCCAGCACGTCCGACAAGTCCTAGTCCGCCTCCGGCACCACAGAGTCTACTGCTCACTGGACAAGAGCCAGTTCCACCGCCAGACGGCGGAATTCCTGGGCTTTGTCGTGAGCCCCAAGGGGGTGAAACTGAACAAAAGCATCGTGGCCATCATAACAGGGTACCCTACGCCTGGCTCCAGGAAGTCCCTGCAAAACCTGTTCGAGTTCATCTTCCCCTACCGGCACTTTGTGGAGCGCTTCACCCTGCTCGCAGAGCCGCTGGTGCGAGCCGTTCCACTGGGGAGAGGAGGAGCAGGAGGCCTTCGAGTGCCTGAAGAGGGCATTCCGCAAGGCGCCCCTTCTCCACCACCCCAAGCCCCAGAACCCGTTCTACTTGGACACGGGCGTCACCAAAACAGCTCTGCACGCCTCCCTGATCCAAATAGACGACCAGACTGGCAAGCGAGTCTCCTGCGCTTTCTACTCCCGCAACGTCTCCCCCATCGAGGATGGGTACTCGCCCCTGGAGATGAAGATCCTCCCAGTACGGGCTGCCTTCATGGTGTGGTGCCGCTACCTGGAGAACACCGAGGAGCCCATCATGATCCTTCTCAACACAGAGGATCTGGCCTCTCTGAATAATGACAGGCTCACCGTACTTCTCCCTGGGCATTGGGTCTTCTTCTTCTCCCACTTCAACTTTGACGTCATGGAGCTGCCAGAACAAGATGGCGGCCGCCCTCTGCCTCCCGGGAGGAGCCGCAACCGAAGAGCTTTCCAGAACACGCCTGCTAGGCCCATCCTGCTTTTTGCCACCAGGGGATCCCCCGGGGATCCGTCACCGGAATCCGGGGAAGAAGAGGACAATGAAGATGCACCTGACCAGGACGGGCTCCACGCGCAGACCCTCCAGCAGGAGCTCCTGGCCATGATCCCAGTGGACCAGATCCTCAACAGCTTCCTAGCCCATTTCAGCATGGCCCAGATCCGGGCGGTCGTCCTGCACTTCTTCCGCGGCCTCCTGTCCTGGAAGAACGTGCTGGCCCTGGCCGCCATGCTGGTGCTGCTCAGGGCCCGGCAGCGCCGCCCGCTGCTGCCCGCGCCCACCTTCGCGGTGGCTCGGCCCCGACCCCGGCGCTCCCTGCTTTTTTTTTGGGCGCCAACACCGCGCCCGCCCGGGAGCGGGCCGAGCTGTTCCTGGGCCCCGGCCGCTGGCAGCGCAACGCCCTGCTCCCTCAGGCTCCCCGAGGCCTGCAGTTCACCCCCGGCTTCTGGCTGACGCTCTGGGAGTTCTTCGGTGTCCGAGGCGCCCCCCGGGAGGGCAGCGCCCCCGCCCCCCGCGAGCCCCGGTGCTTGGAGCTACACGTCGTTGGTGCCGAGGATGTCGTCTCGCGAGAAGCCCTGCAAGACGACCTGCAACGTTACCGTCAGTGTGGCCTGCATGACGGCCTGCAAGACACCTCGCAGGACGAGCAGGACAACGACGTGCACGCG